GTGCGCTCTCCTCAAAAAATAGTATGGTATTTTTTCAGTGTAATAGCAACTGTAAATTGGACAGTGCAGTTAGATTAACAAGAATTTAAGCTTTCTGCCCATATAAGACATGTCTATGTCCTGGAAAGTTTGCTGTTACTTACAACAGTCATGCTAATCATATTAGCGCATGTTAGCTCAACCGTCCCGTATACGTGACACTGATCCCGTAGAGGTTAACCCTGCTGGTCATCTATGAACGTTTGAACATCTTGAAGAACAATCTGGTCTTAATGGCCATCTACTCTTATAATCTCCACCTGGCACAGCCAGAAGAGGACTGGCCACTCCTTAGAGCCTGGTTCCTCTCTAGGTTTCTTCCTAGGTTCCAGCCTTTCTAGGGAGTTTTTCCTAGCCATCGTGCTTCTACATCTGCATTTCTTGCTCTTTGGGGTTTTAGGCTGGGTTTCTGTATAAGCACTTTGTGACATCTGCTGATGTAAAAAGGGCTTTATAAATGTGGAAGACCGTCTCCCATGAGGGAGAGAGAGGGTCGAATACAGCAGGTCCGGGACAAGGTAGAATGTCCGGTGAACAGGTCAGGGTTCCATAGCCGCAGGCAGAACAGTTGAAACTGGAGCAGCAGCATGACAAGGTAGCACGTCCGGTGAACAGGTCAGGGTTCCATAGCCACAGGCAAAACAGCAGAAACTGGATCAGCAGCACGATCAGGTGGACTGGGGACAGGGACAGCCAGGAGTCATCAGGCTAGGTAGTCCTGAGGCATGGTCCTAGGGCTCAGGTCCTCCTGGAGGGGAGAGAGAGAGATGGGAGAATTAGAGGGAGCATACTTAAGTTCACACAGGACACCAGATAAGACAGACTGATCCTAGCCCCCCCCCCCACATAGTCCATTGCAGCATAGATTCCAGGCAACACACCTGTAGACTACAATAGATTAACACAGCAACACCTAAAATAATAGTGATTCAACACCCACCATGAAGCTTTTCTACTCTGTTTATTATATATCTTGATTGCCTAGTCACTTTTCCCCTACCTACATGCACATACTGTATTACCTCTGTGGAAAAGACCCATGGAGTTGGTGGAATCACCCTTTAATTCATGGCCACTTGCGCAGCTGGGCCAGAGAACTTTAATTAGGTCAGGTGGAAACGTCAGACAGATCTCAACTCATTAAAAGGAGGAAATCGCCACCGCCCGACCTCGCCGCTTTCTCTCCCCAACTCCGTCTAATCCAGACATTGTGTGCGTCCACAAATCAACATAAGTCCACCGAATCTGTTATCTTTCATCTGAACTATCTGTTGCCCTCAGGAGAGTGGGCCATCAGTTATTGTTTATAGTTATTACCACAGAGCGCGGCTTGGAGCGCACGCTCCAAACCTATTGTGTTATATCAATGGACAATGATCACGGTCCTACAGATCATCACGGGACAAATATGGTTAAAATGTAACGACATGAAATGTACATATGAAGACAAACTTGATCATCCTGAGATAAAACTGATTGAGATCATAGATCGAATATTTGATAACTGATCGATTTATTTGGCATTATCATGATTATGAACGGTTATGATCCTAAATGACTCAATCATGCTTCATATTTAATTCATATTGAACTGAATTGCTGAATTACTTCATGAGAATGATTTGATTTGATACATGTTATTCTGTTTCCTTTGTTATGCAGCACACAAAACTATCCAGTAAATATACCACTTTGTGGTTAAAATAATTCCAGCCTCAGTCTCCATTCCTCTCAGTCACCTGACCCCTGACCACCCGTTCACCTTCACTATTGTCAGTCATCCTACCTGTCAGGCTACACACACAGATTCCAATAATATGTCATCCTCAATTACCTCAACTACCTTGTACCCCTGCACATTGACTAGGTACTGGGACTCCTTGTATATAGCCTAGTTATTGGTATTTTATTGTGTTTCTACTTTCTTTTTTCTTTAGCAAATATTTGTCTTACTTTTTAACTCTGCATTGTTGGGAATGGGCTCGTAAGTAAGCATTTCAGGGTAAAGTCTACACCTTTTGTATTCGACGCATGTGACCAATCAAATGTGATTTGTGTGTGTATGTTCCCCCACTAGATGGCAGTACAGAATAGGATAACAGACCAGTACAGCGTGATCTTTGCACGGTGTTCAAAGATCTATGGTCTTTAATTTGACAGAGATCTGATAAATTCCCATTCTCAAACATATATATATTTTTGCTAACATGTATAGACACTATTATTCTATGTCATCACTACTATAAAGTTACTAGTACAACCAAAAGTTGTGCAGCAGTAAGCTGACTCATACCCTGATTCTCACACTCTCCAATACTAGAATCTGACAGTAATCTGCAGTAGACCTACAGCAAAAGTCAAATCATGTGAGTGTATCTAACATAAGATTAAAACGTGTTCATTGGTTCTAATGTGGTGTTCAGTCTATAAACAGTTAAATGCATGTGGTCAATTATGTAAACCTGCCATTATGTGGTGTTTGGAGAAAACAAATAACATGGCTTCATCAAGAGTGATGAGCAGCTGTTCAAAAACAATAGATGCCGTTCAAATGTGACATTTACAGAAGTAGATCATGTTAACTAATTTAGAGCTTGTGTTTGTAACATACTGTAATAAAACGGCTTGAATCCTAACCTTCTGGCCCGTAGCATGCTCATGTGGCAAAGTAGATACCCGCGCTTATAAATACATGGTCGCTACAATACATAGTACATTTTATAAGCATGTAGGCCCACAGTACATTTGATCCCCACCTCATAATACAGATATGATGTTCATGGTAAACAGGAAAACATACATATTTGAATAAACAAAACCTAGACGTCACATGTATGTCATGTGTACATGATCTGGTGAAACTCACATTTGAATCCTTCACAAACACATCATAGGCCCTGGCAAAAGTAGTGCACTATATAGGGAATAGTATGCCATTAGGGACGCAACCTTGGTGTTTCTCTTCCCCATCACAATGCAAACCATTGGTGTGAGCTCAGCCTTAGTTCACTCTCTGTCAAACTGGTTTGTTCCGGCCGGGGCTTTCCATAGGAGAGCTGTGGCTGGAGTCACACAGGGTGGGAGTGGGGGGGTTCCTAGAATAGAGGAAGGACACTGTAGCAGAAGCAGCTACCTAGCCTGGTCTCTGATCTGTTTGTGCTGTGGCAAGACAACACAAAGAGATCTGGGAGCAGGCTTGCAGCCATCTGCAGTCTACACAGAAACCTTATTCTGAGGAAACAGTGCCCATTTTGGCAGTGCATGACTTGCTGTGTCCATTTTGAAATCCCAAGGCAAAACATTTCTGAATTCACATATAAGTCATATTGAATTTACTTTGAGTGTTGCATGTGAAAGTGCTACATAAAGAGGATCAAATTCTTGGCATTTTATTTCAAATGTATCCAAATGAAGCTATGAAACGAACTCAAGCTGTAGCTAATGTAAATTATTATAAGATGTATTGTAGCAGAACCAAGAAGCACCATATAAACACAAATCCATAGTCTTACTGTAAATAATGTATGATTATTGTTCAAAAATGTTTTATTGTCACATACATCGGATTGGTGCAGTGAAATGTACTGAAGGTACTGAATTCATATTCACATAGATGGAAGTAGACTCTGTGCATGCTTTAGATACATTATTACAGTAACAAAACAAGTAAACATGTTTTAACTTCATGAACAAACCCAACTAATAAAAAACAAACCTAACTTTCAGTGACAGTCATATCCTATTACAAATCACATTTTATTTGTCACATACACATGTTTAGCAGATGTTATAGCGGGTGTAGCGAAATGCTTGTGCTTCTAGCTCCAACAGTGCAGTAATATCTAACAAGTAATATCTAACAATTTCACAACATATACCCAATACACACAAAACTAGTAAGGAATGGAATTTAAGAATATATACATATATGGACAAGCAATGACAGAGCCGCATGGACTAAGATACAGTATAATATTATAGAATAGAAAGCAGTATATACATATGAGATGAGTAGTGCAAGATATGTAAACATTATTAAAGTGACTAGTGTTCCATTTTTTTAAGTGGCCAGTGATTTCAATAGGCAGCAGCAGCCTCTAATGTGCTAGTGATGGCTATTTGACAGACTGATGGCCTTGAGATAGAAGCTGTTTTTCATTCTCTTGGTCCCAGCTTTGATGCACCTGTACTGACCAATTTATAATATCACCATACACACAAAACAAATAAACAAGTAAACTTGTGCACATATGCATTACGTTCATTATGTCACATGTACACATATACAATATGTTCATTATGTCCATACTACAAAGCTGTTTTCCTCCCCACACTGCTATATGGAGCGAAAACATGGACCATCTACAGTAGGCACCTGAAAGCACTGGAACAACACCACCAAAGATCCTTAGAGAAAAACCTGAGGGTTAGCACCAGCGTTCTGGAGGAGGCCAACATAAACAGCTTCACCATTACCATAACGCAACACCAACTCCGATGGACAGGCCGTGTCTTCTGGATGCCCAACTCACGCCTCCCAAAACAGATAATGTACTTCCAGTTAAAGGAAGGTCAGCTACAAAGACAACATGAAAACATACCTGAAGAACTTCGACATCACCTCTAACAACAGGGAAGACATTACACTAAATAGACACAGCTTGAGAAAAAAGATTCAAGAGGGAGCTGCACTAAACAAAAAAGATCTCCACCGTACCGCAGAGTACAAGGGGCAGCTATGCAAGGAGAGACTCAACACCAGGAAGGCTCAAGCACCAACCATAACCAGGAAGGCCCCTGCCCACACTGCACCAAAATATGTATGCTCCCGGATCGGCCTCTAAAGTAATCTGTAGACTCACAAATAGAAGACACTATGGAGGACAATCATTCGACTCGAGTGATGATGCTGTGTGTTCTCAGATATAGATCTTTGTTGGATTTGAGGATGCGTCCTCACTGTGTTGAGGCTTGTCTGATTCTGCTAAACTCTCCTGAGACTCCAGTCTCTTCATCTGATACTTCGAAGACGCTCCCTCGCTCTCCTCGGACATGGCAGGTTCCAGTCTCAGCTGAAACGTTGTAGACGGTGCCTTACTCCCCTCGGACCCCCCAGAACCCAGCCTGTAGTTCTGCTCCACCACAGTCAGCCCATCATCCTCCTCCCAGGGAGGCCTGGTGTTCACCACTTCCCTGGGCTGAGACATTGCAGACGCTGCCTGTCTGCTGTGGGACCTGGTGATGACCGGGCCATTGGACTGGGACTTTGCGGACGGTCCCCTGCTGCGCTGGAAAGATGCTGCCTGGCTGGACGCAGCCCCGTTGGAGGAGCGGACCACCAGGTAGCGGACTGAGGGGCTCTTATCCTCGTCATGGGCCTGGAGGGGGCAGGAGGAGCTGATGAACAGCCCCCCTCCCAGGATGAGCAGGATGGACGCCCCCCAGCCGATGTAGAGACACGCCCCGATCTCCCTCCGCTGGGCGTCGGTGGTGGAGCTGTAGAACCCCTGCACCACTGCCCCAGCGGCCCATGACGTGGGGATCAGGCACAGAACCCCCGTGGCGATCAACACCGTGCCCGCTGCCACGGCAACCCGGCCTTTGACCCCACCCCCTTGCTCGTCCAGAAACCGGGTGCACTTCCCCCCGACGAAGGCTAGTAGGAGCCCGGTGGCGCCTGTGGCGATGGCGAGGACGGTGAGCGCTCTTGCAGCTTGGAGGTCGGAGCTCAGGGCCAAGAGGGAGTCATAGGGCTTACACTGGATCTGTCCTGTACTCTCGGCCACACAGCTCATCCAGATACCCTCCCAGATAGTCTGAGAGGTGATGATGGTGGCGCCAATGAAGGCCGTGACCCTCCACATGGGCAGGACGCAGGTCACGATGACCCCCACCCAGCCCAGCAGGCTCAGGGCGCTGGCCAACATCTGCATCCCCAAAGAGGCCATGGTGGAGGAGGCAGAGGAGACGACACACTGGCTCCCCAGCTGGTTGCTGTTTGTCAGTCAGAGTCCTTAGAAAGTTGGATCCTTCAGGGTCTTAGTGTATCTAGCGTGTGTCCTTCTGAGACCTGAAGTGAAACATTATTTAGTCACGTCCTCCTGCTTCTCAGTCCTTTAATGGCTTTTTCAGCTGACCTTTCTTCAGTTCCAGCCTCTTCTATCTCTCTGCTAAGCTGTTGTTATGAATAGTGAGTCAACAGAGATGTCAGAGATCCCAGCTCGCTGCCCTGTCCACCTGTTACTGGCCTATAGACCCAGCTCTCTGCTGCTTCTGCTACCTACCTGCCTGCCTCCAGGTGTATCTGTGTCTTCCACTACATTTCCTTTTAAAATCTCTCTCTCTCTCTCTCTCTCTCTCTCTCTCTCTCTCTCTCTCTCTCTCTCTCTCTCTCTCTCTCTCTCTCTCTCTCTCTCTCTCTCTCTCTCTTCTCTTTCTTTCTCTCTCTTTGAGCAGCGGCCTCAGTGTTGTCTTCTCTCGCTCTCTCTTGAGTATCCACCTGGGTGACAGTGAGCAGGTGTATATACCACACCTCCCTCTGGGGATGACTGAGTGACTGAGTGACTGAGTGGGAGAGGTGTGGAGGTGCCTGTGACAATAGTGACATCATCTTCTAGCCTGTCAGGTTCTTCTCTGGGCAATGAGGGCGGAGCATGATGCAAGGTATTATGGGTTGTGGAAAATACTGGAAAGGAGTTAAGATAGTACTTTATTCAGGCAATGTGCCTTAGTTGATGCCTTCATGAACATCTTACTCATTGGACCTTCATGATTTTGCCACACTTTTTGATGTCTTAATTTTGGTTTCAGTTGAGCACAGTTATTACATTGTGGGGGGGGGACAGAGAGAATGTGTGTCAGATGTTGCATGTGTAAAGTGTTTGCATGTGTGTTTGAAGGGACACATTGAGCAGAGTGTGACAGGGGGAGGAGGGACATCTAGCAGGATCAACTGAGAGAAAAGGCTTTTTATTACAACAAAAGATGGTGTTCAGAATAACCAGTTTGAAACCATACTCCCCCACTCGTAGACATTTATATTTCATTATTTTATCTCACGCTGTGAAGGAGGCTTTGTGTGGCCAGGGGGTGGTTTAGAGTCCATGCTGTCAATTAAAAGATTATGAAGGACCACCTACATATTATAGGGACTGGGACTGTGAATTACAGTAATTTCAAGTGTTATGGTGCAAATAATCTGACTGCTGGTGATGGTGATTCAGACAGTGTGTAAGTATTTTTAAATGTGTGTGTGTGCGCGTGCATGCATGTGTGTGTGTGCCCTTATCTGATAAATCTGAAAACAGCTTGCTTGTTGCCAGTGTAATGTAAACAGAGTCAACTGTAACTCTTCAGACAGCGATAACCATCTTGTGTCCAGACGGCACATTTGTATTTTACCTACACACAAACACTGGGGTGTGGTTCAGTAACTACACTGCTCAAAAAAATAAAGGGAACACTTAAACAACACATCCTAGATCTGAATGAATTAAATAATCTTATTAAATATTTTTTTCTTTACATAGTTGAATGTGCTGACAACAAAATCACACAAAAATTATCAATGGAAATCAAATGTATCAACCCATGGAGGTCTGGATTTGGAGTCACCCTCAAAATTAAAGTGGAAAACCACACTACAGGCTGATCCAACTTTGATGTAATGTCCTTAAAACAAGTCAAAATGAGGCTCAGTAGTGTGTGTGGCCTCCACGTGCCTGTATGACCTCCCTACAACGCCTGGGCATGCTCCTGATGAGGTGGCGGATGGTCTCCTGAGGGATCACCTCCCAGACCTGGACTAAAGCATCCGCCAACTCCTGGACAGTCTGTGGTGCAACGTGGCGTTGGTGGATGGAGCGAGACATGATGTCCCAGATGTGCTCAATTGGATTCAGGTCTGGGGAACGGGCGGGCCAGTCCATAGCATCAATGCCTTCCTCTTGCAGGAACTGCTGACACACTCCAGCCACATGAGGTCTAGCATTGTCTTGCATTAAGAGGAACCCAGGGCCAACCACACCAGCATATGGTCTCACAAGGGGTCTGAGGATCTCATCTCGGTACCTAATGGCAGTCAGGCTACCTCTGGCGAGCACATGGAGGGCTGTGCGGCCCCCCAAAGAAATGCCACCCCACACCATGACTGACCCACCGCCAAACCGGTCATGCTGGAGGATGTTGCAGGCAGCAGAACGTTCTCCACGGCGTCTCCAGACTCTGTCACGTCTGTCACATGTGCTCAGTGTGAACCTGCTTTCATCTGTGAAGAGCACAGGGCGCATGGTGTTGGGCTGTAAGCACAACCCCCACCTGTGGACGTCGGGCCCTCATACCACCCTCATGGAGTCGGTTTCTGACCGTTTGAGCAGACACATGCACATTTGTGGCCTGCTGGAGGTCATTTTGCAGGGCTCTGGCAGTGCTCCACCTGCTCCTCCTTGCACAAAGGCGGAGGTAGCAGTCCTGCTGCTGGGTTGTTGCCCTCCTACGGCCTCCTCCACGTCTCCTGATGTACTGGCCTGTCTCCTGGTAGCGCCTCCATGCTCTGGACACTACGCTGACAGACACAGCAAACCTTCTTGCCACAGCTCGCATTGATGTGCCATCCTGGATGAGCTGCACTACCTGAGCCACTTGTGTGGGTTGTAGACTCCGTCTCATGCTACCACTAGAGTGAAAGCACCGCCAGCATTCAAAAGTGACCAAAACATCAGCCAGGAAGCATAGGAACTGAGAAGTGGTCTGTGGTCACCACCTGCAAAACCAGTCTTTATTGGGGGTGTCTTGCTAAATGCCTATAATGTACACCTGTTGTCTATCCAATTTGCACAACAGCATTTGACATTTATTGTCAATCAGTGTTGCTTCCTAATGGGACAGTTTGATTTCACAGAAGTGTGATTGACTTGGAGTTACATTGTGTTGTTTAAGTGTTCCCTTTATTTTTTTGAGCAGTGTATATGGTGCTGCTGCTACTTCTGGTATTACACTGATAACCAACAACAGAGGGCCTCAGAGATACAAACACAGGGATGGGGGTCATTCTGAAAAATAAACAAACATTTATTCAAAACGCATTCTGGCTGTGTGATAACAATTTTATGTTTGACTTGGTTTTGATTGCAGTGTTGGGGGTAACGCGTTACAAAAGTATTGCGTTACGTAATCAAATAACTTTTATCAGTAACGGGTTACTTTTTGCAGTTTGGGTAATATTATTACAGCTACTTTGTCAAACAACATGTGCGTTACTTTCAGAATAATATCTCTACCGGTCGCATGTTTCCATGATCGGATCTCGACTTGTTTCCTCATTTAGTTCTCAAGCGAGCGGAGAAAGGCTGTTTGGAGAAATGTCATGACAGCTGCTGTCAAGAGGGCACACGTCTGATCTTTGCCATTGATTCTGTGGTAGCAAAGCTCATATGTGGCTTTCCCGTCTAGTGGCAAGAGTGCCCTCTATACATCTAATGGGTCTGTGTACGTGTGGTCAATAGAGTACCACAGTATGAGTCATAATACCCATAAAACCTAGTGTTCAAACAAGGCAATGGTTCCAATCGCTTTTCCACAATTTACCCCACAAAAATGAAATGCTAATTAGCTGCTAATGTACAGTGGGGGAAAAAAAGTATTTAGTCAGCCACCAATTGTGCAAGTTCTCCCACTTAAAAAGATGAGAGAGGCCTGTAATTTTCATCATAGGTACACGTCAACTATGACAGACAAAAGGAGAAAACAAAATCCAGAAAATCACATTGTAGGATTTTTAATGAATTTATTTGCAAATTATGGTGGAAAATATGTATTTGGTCAATAACAAAAGTTTCTCAATACTTTGTTATATACCCTTTGTTGGCAATGACACAGGTCAAACGTTTTCTGTAAGTCTTCACAAGGTTTTCACACACTGTTGCTGGTATTTTGTCCCATTCCTCCATGCAGATCTCCTCTAGAGCAGTGATGTTTTGGGGCTGTCGCTGGGCAACACGGACTTTCAACTCCCTCCAAAGATTTTCTATGGGGTTGAGATCTGGAGACTGGCTAGGCCACTCCAGGACCTTGAAATGCTTCTTACGAAGCCACTCCTTCGTTGCCCGGGCGGTGTGTTTGGGATCATTGTCATGCTGAAAGACCCAGCCACGTTTCATCTTCAATGCCCTTGCTGATGGAAGGAGGTTTTCACTCAAAATCTCACGATACATGGCCCCATTCATTCTTTCCTTTACACGGATCAGTCGTCCTGGTCCCTTTGCAGAAAAACAGCCCCAAAGCATGATGTTTCCACCCCCATGCTTCACAGTAGGTATGGTGTTCTTTGGATGCAACTCAGCATTTTTTGTCCTCCAAACACGACGAGTTGAGTTTTTACCAAAAAGTTCTATTTTGGTTTCATCTGACCATATGACATTCTCCCAATCCTCTTCTGGATCATCCAAATGCACTCTAGCAAACTTCAGACGGGCCTGGACATGTACTGGCTTATGCAGGGGGACATGTCTGGCACTGCAGGATTTGAGTCCCTGGCGGCGTAGTGTGTTACTGATGGTAGGCTTTGTTACTTTGGTCCCAGCTCTCTGCAGGTCATTCACTAGGTCCCCCTGTGTGGTTCTGGGATTTTTGCTCACCGTTCTTGTGATCATTTTGACCCCACGGGGTGAGATCTTGCGTGGAGCCCCAGATCGAGGGAGATTATCAGTGGTCTTGTATGTCTTCCATTTCCTAATAATTGCTCCCACAGTTGATTTCTTCAAACCAAGCTGCTTACCTATTGCAGATTCAGTCTTCCCAGCCTGGTGCAGGTCTACAATTTTGTTTCTGGTGTCCTTTGACAGCTCTTTGGTCTTGGCCATAGTGGAGTTTGGAGTGTGACTGTTTGAGGTTGTGGACAGGTGTCTTTTATACTGATAACAAGTTCAAACAGGTGCCATTAATACAGGTAACGAGTGGAGGACATAGGAGCCTCTTAAAGAAGAAGTTACAGGTGTGTGAGAGCCAGAAATCTTGCTTGTTTGTAGGTCACCAAATACTTATTTTCCACCATAATTTGCAAATAAATTCATAAAAAATCCTACAATGTGATTTTCTGGATTTTTTTTCTCTATTTGTCTGTTATAGTTTACGTGTACATATGATGAAAATTACAGGCCTCTCTCATCTTTTTAAGTGGGAGAACTTGCACAATTGGTGGCTGACTAAATATTTTTTTCCCCCACTGTAGCTATCATAAAGAACTACAAATGCCATGATGATCTGACGAGACTTTTAAATTGAGGCAAAGGTAAGAATCTCTGGATTATCTGTATAATGTTATCTAAATTTAGCAATGAATAAATTGGCTGCCTTTCTTTCAATTGACAATTCTGTGAACTGTCTTGTGCAAGTTTTAAATTGACACAATACCTGTTAGCAAAGATGTCAGCTAGAGATGACGTTCAGGAGCTTGCAGGGATTTGTAGTCTTACATGATGTCTACTTTGATGCTAATTAGCATTTTCAAATCTGAGAGTAAATAGAGCCGAATATATTGATACAAGTCACCTTGTCCGAAAGAGATTTACATGGTTATCAAAACGTCACGCCAAGGTAAGCCTACATGAAACACAGCCCTTCTTTTAAGTATTTCTAAAATTCCCTATGGGAACCATTAATGGTGGAAAAATAATTGGAACCATTTCCCTGTTTGATCGGTAGGTTTTATGGGTCTTATGACACCTCCACTGTGGGGCTCTATAGAACTGGCTGGAGAGAAAGATTTTGAATGAAAAGATAGGAAATCTGTACAGATGTTTGTCTTACAGTATATATGGATAATTAAGCTGCCCATATATAGTGCAGCACTTGTAAACTAGCACTGGAAAGCAGTGCCACAAATGAAAGGAGAACCTAGTGATCAAACCTGAGTAAGTAGCATATCTTTGGTAGACCGCGCACGGCTTGCCTTGCTCCCTCAGTCAAACAAACTGTGAGATTTTTTGATTATTTTCTTGAAAGTAACGCAAAGTAATACAAGTATTAATATAATGTGTTGCTTTCCACACAGAGTAATATTTTTAAATAATGTGTTACTTTTGTTAAATGTAACGAGTAATATGTGATACCAAGTAACTATTCCCAACATTCGTCTCAAGTGACGAGCATTATGCAATCGTGAACTGTCTTAACCTCCCCTATCTGACGTCAACACAGTACACTGGACTGAATGTAGAGTAAATGAATGAATGAATGAATGAATGACTTGTGTGATTGTGAAGTACCATTAAAGGTATGGCTCAACTGTGCAAGCCAGAATCCCAAGAGGAGGTTTGTTGTGTGTTTTTATCAGGGCTGCCAACACCACTTGAAACCTCTTAACACACTTACATATACGGACGCATGCATGAACGCACACACACTCAAAAGTTCTGCTCCTCCGTCTCTCGACCTCTCAGTCTCCCTCTCCCCTCTCTGTCTCTACCTCGCTGTCTCCCTCTCCCCTCTCTGTCTCTACCTCTCAGTCTCCCTCTCCCTTCTCTGTCTCTACCTCTCAGTCTCCCTCTCCCCTCTCGTCTCTACCTCACAGTCTCCCTATCCCCTTTCTGACTCTGCCTCGCCGTCTCCCTCTCCTCCTCTCTGTTTCTACCAGTTCTTCTTCTTCCTCTCCCCCTCCCCCTCTCTGTCTCTATCTCTCTTCCCTCTCCCCCCCTCCCCTCTGTGTGTTGATCTGTAGCATTCTCTCTGAAGTAGTCCACATTGTCACATCTCTTAGTAACACAACCTGTTTGCACAGATTCCTTTATGTACAAAATTACTTGAGCTGAGTGCAACACTGCCCAACAAGTTATTTTGGTGTGTGTCACACATATACAGTGAGGGAAAAAAGTATTTGATCCCCTGCTGATTTTGTACGTTTGCCCACTGACAAAGAAATGATCAGTCTATAATTTTAATGGTAGGTTTATTTGAACAGTGAGAGACAGAATAACAACCAAAAAATCCAGAAAAACGCATGTCAAAATTGTTATAAATTGATTTGCATTTTAATGAGGGAAATAAGTATTTGACCCCTCTGCAAAACATGACTTAGTACTTGGTGGCAAAACCCTTGTTGGCAATCGCAGAGGTCAGATGTTTCTTGTAGTTGGCCACCAGGTTTGCACACATCTCAGGAGGGATTTTGTCCCACTCCTCTTTGCAGATCTTCTCCAAGTCATTAAGGTTTCGAGGCTGACGTTTGGCAACTCTAACCTTCAGCTCCCTCCACAGATTTTCTATGGGATTAAGGTCTGGAGACTGGCTAGGCCACTCCAGGACCTTAATGTGCTTCTTCTTGAGCCACTCCTTTGTTGCCTTGGCCGTGTGTTTTGGGTCATTGTCATGCTGGAATACCCATCCACGACCCATTTTCAATGCCCTGGCTGAGGGAACTTGACCCCGTCCATAGTCCCTTTGATGCGGTGAAGTTGTCCTGTCCACTTAGCAGAAAAACACCCCCAAAGCATAATGTTTCCACCTCCATGTTTGACAGTGGGGATGGTGTTCTTGGGGTCATAGGCAGCATTCCTCCTCTTCCAAACACGGCGAGTTGAGTTGATGCCAAAGAGCTCAATTTTGGTCTCATCTGACCACAACACTTTCACCCAGTTCTCCTCTGAATCATTCAGATGTTCATTGGCAAACTTCAGTCGGGCATGTATATGTGCTTTCTTGAGCAGGGGGACCTTGCGGGCGCTGCAGGATTTCAGTCCTTCACGGCGTAGTGTGTTACCAATTGTTTTCTTGGTGACTATGGTCCCAGCTGCCTTGAGATCATTGACAAGATCCTCCCGTGTAGTTCTGGGCTGATTCCTCACTGTTCTCATGATCATTGCAACTCCACGAGGTGAGATCTTGCATGGAGCCCCAGGCCGATGGAGATTGACAGTTCTTTTGTGTTTCTTCCATTTGCGAATAATCGCACCAACTGTTGTCACCTTCTCACCAAGCTGCTTGGCGATGGTCTTGTAAGCCCATTCCAGCCTTGTGTAGGTCTACAATCTTGTCCCTGACATCCTTGGAGAGTTCTTTGGTCTTGGCCATGGTGGAGAGTTTGGAATCTGATTGATTGATTGCTTCTGTGGACAGGTGTCTTTTATAAAGGTAACAAGCTGAGATTAGGAGCACTCCCTTTAAGAGTGTGCTCCTAATCTCAGCTCGTTACCTGTATAAAAGACACCTGGGAGCCAGAAATCTTTCTGATTGAGAGGGGGTCAAATACTATTTCCCTCATTAAAATGCAAATCAATTTATAACATTTTTGACATGCGTTTTTCTGGATTTTTTTGTTAAAATTATAGACTGATCATTTCTTTGTCAGTGGGCAAACGTACAATATCAGCAGGGGATCAAATACTTTTTTTTCCCTCACTATACATACACATTGAGCTATTCCCTTCAGGAAAAGACACAGTCATTATGAGTTAAAGTTTTTTTTTAAAGGATCCACTTTTTAAAACAGAAATTAATGGTCTGACTTAATTATTTTATGGGTGAATAATAGAATACTTAATATTTTGGTTTAAAATACATCTTAGGATGCAAATAATATAGAATAATATTAATAATAATATAGTATAGTACTGAGCGTAATACAACACGACAAAACAAATCCATGTGACAGTAGGAAGGCGACATACAAACACATTAAACAATTTTAATAGAACAGTTAAATTCAACCTTGCCCAATTCATGAACCGTGCCAGACGTTTTACAACTTAAATTCTAGAAAGAGTCCAATAACATATTTCAAGAATGATAACGGTGTGTTCAAGAGTGAGTGGAATTCTGTTTTTATGATACTTGGTTGTATACTTTTTCTCTGAGACCCTAGAGAGGGACTCTTCAACATTTGACTAAATGATTTTCATAGTAACTGACATCACATTTTACACTAACTAGAAAGCACATACTTTAGCCAACACTCTGTCAACTCACACATACATTGACACTTCAATTTCACTGTGGTACCACAGTCGAACATGACAGTAAAAGCAAAAAAACTCTATCAGCAAATTCACAATGGGGAGAAACTACATCAGTGCAAGGAATGTGGTAAAAACAATAAAATAGCACAGTGAACAACCTTGAAAGTCCCATTTTCAACACCCCTTCAGTCCCCTCATCCACAGGCTCTGGGTGGTCTGGTCTGTGGTGGTCTGGTCTGTGGTGGTCTGTGGTGGTCTGGTCTGTGGTGGTCTGGTCTGTGGTGTGTCTAAACATCTAGACGTAGGCCTTGCTGCTGGCAGCAGCCTTGGAGTACTTGACATCGTAGTTGTTCTCATCGCTGGGTGGGCAGGAGCTGCAGAGGAGTGCCCCGCCCAGGATCATCAGCCCTGCGGAGCCCCAGCCGATGTAGAGCGAGGCCCCCAGCTCCCTCCTCTGGGCCTCGATCAAAAGGGGGTTGTAGAAGTCTTGGATGATGGTTTGGGCTGACCAGCAGACAGGAACCAGGACCAGGAGGGAAGCGATGAGGAAGATAACCCCGCTAGCGATAGCGACTTTAGCTTTTAAGCTCTCATCGTCCACAAAGTTGGTGCACTTCCCCCCTCCGATGCCCAGCAGGATGGCGAACACGCCGGCGATGACGGCAATGATGATGAGAGCCCTGGCGGCCTGCAGATCCTGGGGCAAGGCCAGGAGGGAGTCGTAGACCTTACACTGCATCTGGCCCGTACTCTGGGTTACACAGTTCATCCATAAGCCTTCCCAGATGACCTGAGCGGTGATGATGTTGGCTCCGATGAAGGCTGTCACCTTCCACATGGGCAGAATACAGATGATGATGCTTCCCAGCCAGCCAGTGATTGCCAGGGCAATGCCCAGCATCTGTAGTCCAGCCGACACCATCCTGATGGAGCCCTGGTAGTATGGACTGATTGAACTGATGGAGGGAGAGATATAGAGGGTGACAGGAGAGTATAGCGTGTACAGTGGAGAGTTTGACAATGACAAACTCACTTCCTCTACGTCTCTGACTTATCAGGTTTACTGTGAAAAAGGGACAGAACAGGGGAGGAGTTTTGTCATCTCTCTCTCTCTCTCTCTCTCTCTCTCTCTCTCTCTCTCTCTCTCTCTCTCTCTCTCTCTCTCTCTCTCTCTCTCTCTCTCTCTCTCTCTCTCTCTCTCTCTCTCTCTCTCTCTCTCTCTCTCTCTCTCTCTCTCTCTCTCTCTCTCTCTCTCTCTCTCTCTCTCTCTCTCTCTCCTCTCCTCGGGTGAAACTCGTTTCCTAAGCCATCTCACCTGACCAGATTACTCTCCTAACACACACACACACACACATCCAAAAGCAGCAACTTTGTCTAAACATAATATCCTCAGGGCCGTATTCATAAAGCTTCTCAGAGTAGAAGTGCTGACATACGATCAGGTCCCCCCTCTTAATGATTATGATTTAAAAAGCTAAACTAATCCTGGATCAGCACTCCTACTCTGAGACAGGTCCAGATCAACAAGAGTCACTGATTGACATAGAAAGAGACAAACCAGGTCTAACAGCATGTTCACCTGTGACGAGGTGAATGAAGGAGTCAGGCGCAGGAGGTAAAATACTGAAGTCCAGAGTTTATTCCGTTTACATTCTGTTTTTTTTATTTTTATTTAACCTTTATTTAACCAGGTAAGCCAGTTGAGAACAAGTTCTCATTTACAACTGCGACCTGGCCAAGATAAAGCAAAGCAGTGCGATAAAAACAACAACACAGAGTTACATATGGGGTAAAAAAACATAAAGTCCAAAAAATACAACAGAAAATATATATACAGTGTGTGCAAATGTAGCAAGTTATGGAGGTAAGGCAATAAATAGGCTATAGTGCAAAATAATTACAATTAGTATTAACACTGGAATGCTAGATGTGCAAGAGATTATGTGCAAATAGAGATACTGGGGTGCAAAAAAGCAAAATAAATAACAATATATTATTATTATTATTGTAAACGCTTGGGGCGTTTACATAAATCAAACGCCCCAAGCGTCAAACGAAACCATTACAAGGGAAAACATCCACCTTGGCACAGTGAATAGTAGCTCAACCGAGCTACACGCTCTTACAACAAACAATCACTCACAAAGACAAGGGGAACAGAGGGAACACTTATACACATACTAATTAGGGGAATGAGCACCAGGTGTGTGTGATTGACAAGACATGACAAGTGGAGTGATGAGAATGGGATCGGCAGTAGCTAGTACTCCGGTGACGACGAACCCCAAAGCCTGCCCAAACCAGGAGGGGGGGCAGCCTCGGCGGAAGTCGTGACATCACCAGAAGCCAGAGGGGTTTATCAATGCATAGAGGAAGTTCCCTCGTTACTGTTACTGTTATCATCTCTAACACTGTCTGTTGGTTAATTAGCCTCTCTTATACCTTTTTCAATTCTTGATTTTCTTTTTTTGCAGGAATCTTCCAGCTTGGATGGAAGGATGGAGGAGGGAACAAAGCAAAGGTGTACAGACGTTATCCAGCCTGATGACTAAGAAATGTAAATAGCCTATGTTTTGCTGTCCATCTCTCTCCGCCAGATTGCTGAGAGGCAACATAGTCAGTGTACTTTCTAGACCTTAGGTAATTGTTAATCATGACTCGTCTCTGTCTTTACAGTTCCTGAAACATGTCAATAACCTGATGCATGGCCTCTACAGCAGTGCTTGGCCACCCACTCAGTTACCAGTGACTTACTCTGCCAGGAGAGAGAAGAAACACCCCTCCTTAAATCCATAGTCATTGACAGTAAGTTGTGTGCAAAATGTTTTTTTTCTTTCTGCTTGATACTCTGATCTTCAATGTGTATTGATTCCTTACTTACCAGCTTTGTAAGAGCTAGGTTTGTACTAGCTATGCTGATGATCATGAATGTTTTTTCTCTGCATCAGGTTTCACTGAGACTGGATTTCCCCAAAAAAGACATGCTATTCAGCTGCCCATGATTGTCTGATCTTACACTTTTAGGAAAAAAGGTGGTATCTAGAACCTAAAAGCGTTAATCGGCTGTCCCCGTAGGAACACTTTGAAGAACCCTTTGGTTCCAGGTAGAACTATTTTGGGTTCCATGTAGAACCCTTTCCACAGAGGGCTCTACCTGGAACCAAAAGGGTTCTCCTATGGGGACTGCCGAAGAACCCTTTTGGAGAAAAAAAATCTAAGAGTGTAGTGTAAGTAGATCCAATAGAAATAGAACCACTTCTAATAATATAAGATTGTAAAGCAAATAAAATACTATTTTAACTCACCTTTTTTTTCACGTGCAAAACCCTTGTGTCCTGATTCAACAGACACCTCCCTTGGTGAGTCATGGAAAGTTTCTCCCACTTCTCTCTTGCTCATTCTCCCTGTCGCTCGCTCAAACTCACACACATATGCAGTTGCAGAGAAGAGGAAGAGTTACCAATTACACCCATTTCTAACAATGTTTGATGCAGGAATGATATGACGGACACAACTTTTGAACAAGATAATATTTTATTGTCTCTTTTTTGCCTCTTTACACTTTTACTGAGTAAAGTATTTGTCATCGTCACTACTTAACACAGTCAAAAAGTCATAATTATGGCTAAACCCTGCCCATTTCCACAATTTATCTCCTTAAATTTAGATTTTAAACCTAACCCTAACTAATGAAGGCCAAGTTTGATGCGTTGGTACACCAGACCTTCCGTGCACATGATATCACTTTAGAGCTTCAGCGTATGTCACACGTTTATATCATATTCGACATATTGGGTTATGTCACATTTGACATTAGTGATTTTCACACAGTTTTGCCACATTTATGAACCCTTCATAAAGCATGCCATATGGTTATAGATGCTTTGTAACACATTATGTAGTGCTTATGAAGGGTTTATGAAGCCTTTATAAGCTGAACGTCATTTAAAGCGGGACTGATATTTTACTGTGTGTTACTGTTCTATCATATCCTGCACGCCCACATTATGCCAATCATTAACCCATAAGAGTCTAAGCCCTGTCTAAGCTGAGAGTGGGGTTCTACTAAGCTATATAGAATTGTTTTAAGAAGGTCATATCAAGGATCATTTTGCTATTTGATTTAGAATTTTAAGACCCCTTGAAGTATAAAAATATACATATAAAAAAAGAATGGATGATTTCTTTTGGGGGGCCTTACTGCTATTAGGCCATACAAACACATTGAATAACAGATTTACTGCATGGAACAACAGATAGTGCCAAAAAGTGATAGTCTGAAGTGTCTGTCCTAACCACTTATTTTTGGCACAAAACAGTCTCCATATATACAGTGCATTCGGAAAGTATTCAGAGCCCTTGACTTTTTCCACAATTTGTTACGTTACAGCCTTATTCTAAAATTGCTTAAATCGTTTTTTTCCCCCCTCATTAATCTACACACAATACCCCATAATGACAAAGCAAAAACAGGTTTTTAGACATTTTTGCCCAAAAAGAATTACAATATAAACTGAAACACCACATTTACATACACTACCGTTCAAAAGTTTGGGGTCACTTAGAAATGTCCTTGTTTTCGAAAGAAAATCAATTTTTTTGTCCATTAAAATAACATCAAATTGATCAGAAATTCAGTGTAGACATTGTTAATGTTGTAAATGGCTATTGTAGCTGGAAACGGCTGATTTGTAATGGAATATCTACATAGGCGTACAGAGGCCCATTATCAGCAACCATCAGTCCTGTGTTCCAATGGCACGTTGTGTTTGCTAATCCAAATTTATCATTTTAAAAGGCTAATTGATCATTAGAAAACCCTTTTTTGCAATTATGTTTAGCACAGCTGAAAACTGTTGTGCTGATTAAAGAAGCAATAAAACTGGCCTTCTTGAGACTAGTTGAGTATCTGGAGCATCAGCAATTGTGGGTTCGATTACAGGCTCAAAATGGCTAGAAACAAATAACTTTCTTCTGAAACTCGTCAGTCTATTCTTGTTCTGAGAAATGAAGGCTATTCCATGCGAGAAATTGCCAAGAAACTGAAGATCTCGTACAACGCTGTGTACTATTCCCTTCACAGAACAGCTTAAACTGTCTCTAACCAGAATAGAAAGAGGAGTGGGAGGCCCTGGTGCACAACTGAGCAAGAGGACAAATACATTAGAGTGTCTAGTTTGAGAAACAGACGCCTCACAGGTCCTCAACTGGCAGCTTCATTAAATAGTACCCGCAAAACACCAGTCTCAACATCAACAGTGAAGAGGCGACTCTGGGATGCTGACCTTCTAGGCAGAGTTGCCAAGAAAAAGCCATATCTCAGACTGGCCAATAAAAAGAAAAGATTAAGATGGGCAAAATAACACAGACACTGGACAGAGGAAGATTGGAAAAAAAGTGTTATGGACAGACGAATCGAAGTTTGAGGTGTTCGGATCACAAAGAAGAACATTTGTGAGACGCAGACCAAATGAAAAGGAGTGCTTGATGCCATCTTTCAAGCATTGTGGAGGCAATGTGATGGTCTGGGGGTGCTTTGGTGGTGGTAAAGTGGGAGATTTGTACAGGGTAAAAGGGATCTTGAAGAAGGAAGGCTATCACTCCATTTTGCAACGCCATGCCATACCCTGTGGACGGCGCTTGATTGGAGCCAATTTCCTCCTACAACAGGACAATTACCCAAAGCACAGCTCCAAACTATGCAATAACTATTTAGGGAAGAAGAAGTCAGCTGGTTTTCTGTATATAATGGAGTGGCCAGCACAGTCACCGGATCTCAACCCTATTGAGCTGTTGTGGGAGCAGCTTGACCGCATGGTACGTAAGAAGTGCCCATTAAGCCAATACAACTTGTGGGAGGTGCTTCAGGAAGCACGGTGCCACGACATCGACCTTAGGGGGTTAATTTATTTTGAAAAGCCAGAAAACTCAGGAGGTTGATATGTTGCGGGTCCTCTGGAAAGTCCTAAAATATGCCCCTGACTGCCGTGTTGGAGAAGGACGCAAAGTATGTATGAGCAAGTTGCTCTTTTTTGAAGAAATATCTAACTGCCACAAAATTCACTAAATACTTTTTCATGGTACTAGACACGAGTTCACAAA